CCATAGTCACTATTAACAACCACTTCACTTACTTAAACATAAAAATATTCTACAAAAATGTTTTAAAGTTCATGTACTTTGGCTGTAAAGTACTGCTGACATCCACTAGATGGCACTAACACATTGATATATCATTCAAGAACTGATGTCTTTTAAGTGAAGTGTTGAAATGGCACTTGTTTTACAACAATACAAGTCTGTGTATTGTTCCCAAAAGTGACTCAAGTAACGTCTGTGTGTGTGTCTGTGTTGTGGTGGGTCAGGAGAGGAACGTGGAGGCTGTGAGGGGAGCGAAGGACGAGAGAGTCAGAGAGATCCGAAACACCGTGGAGATGATGATCGCTCGTCTGGACAACCAGCTGAAGAACAAACTCATCACCCTCATGGGTAAGACTCCTCATCAGTACGGTCACAGTAACACACTCCATCTGCTGCATTCAGGGATGCTGGTTTCAGTGGTTTTATCAGTACTTAAATGTTAAAATAGAGTTTTATTAAACCCAAATGGCAGCTGGCTCTCGTCTTAAATGTGTCTGAAATAAAGACAGAAAATAATGTAAAAGTCACCTACATCTCAATGTTCCCTTTTAACATCTGGATAAAGCCGCAGTGTTTCATATTCCACGTCTGAAAAGAGCTCTTGTTAATGCGCACTACAGTGTGTCTAAAGGTTGAGACCTCAACCGAACTAAATCTGCTCCCCCCGCTGCAAGAGGCACCTTTTTATAGCTACGGGGTAATATACATATGAAATATTTATCTGCACTGAGTGTCCGCATGCACTCAGCGCCCACATACACAGCCTGCACACCCAACCACTCACACTCGCCGGCCTCCATCAGGGCTGACAGTCGGCGCAGGCACACTGAAAATAGAAATGCGTTCTTCCCCACCAGGCCAGAAGACGTCCTTGACCCAGGAGACGGAGCTGCTGGAGTCTCTCCTGCAGGAAGTGGAGCATCAGGTTGGTTGTCTGCAGCAGCTCAGAGCCTCCATCCACTCAGCTCGACTGCATGTTGTTGTTGTTGTTGTTGTTAGTGGCAGGTTATTCAACACGAGGGTTCATCGTAGTCGTCGTGTTTTTATTCAGTCATCACAGATATAAACAGTTTCTAAACTATACATTATATTATACAATATAGATAAACATAGTCAGCAGTCACAGTAAGATGCATAAAGCGTGTATATGTGCCCGTCCTACATTCTTATCAATGTAAGCTACCCTGCAGTAATAAACAATAACAAAGATTAAAATGATTTACACTCATTAACCCTCAATAATAGCTTTATAAGATCAGATAGACTTTATTGATCCCATGCCAGAGGACATTTGCTTGTTCCAGCAGCTCAAGACACAACACAATAAAGTTAATAGATTAAAGAAATACACATAATGTAAAAATATAATAGAAAAAGAAACTATACAGATATGTTTGATTAAACATTGCACAGATTATTGTAGCATTATACAAAAAATTTATCATCTTTATTTAGTATTTCTTTATTAACGTATAAGTAATTCTTATAATAAACCAAAAGCAAGTTAAACATTCTTAAATTTATATTAATTCATAATTCAACCTCAACAATCTCTTTTTTAATCCCTTTTTAAGCTTTTTGTACCATAAACTTCTCATCTCAAATCACATTTGCACTTTTATTGAAAGAGTTCAAATGTTGTTATTGTTGTTTTCAGTAAAAGACAGTATCCAGTATAGGAGATAAAAATATTGATTTAGTTCTGAACAGTATTTGCATTACTAAAACATAAGTTGCGTTATAATTTATTTATCCCCAATCCCTTTCCCAGATAAACTACTGTACAAATAAAGTTGTTATTGTTAGCCAGCTCGTGTCCCTCCTGGTTTGGTGCAGAGCTGGTAGAGAACAGTGGGTTCCTCGGAGCTTGCTGACAGCTGCTGCTGCAGATTGATAAGAGCAGTGAGTCATACAGTAAAGTTACAAACTGTCTCTCACATTTTGCATATTAATTTTAGTGAAGCTTTAATGCAGTGTTTCTTTCATGTCATAGGCCTCCACAGTATGAGGACAATCTGCACTCATATTGTTCAGTATTGTGATGACGATGTGACAAATATTGAAGTGTACACTGCTAACTGAGACCCTAAACACTGAGCCTGAACACAGCCTCAGCCTAACCTGCTGCCATTGATGTGTTTGAGCTGCACGCTGGAACACAACATGATGATTTTCTTGCTGTTTGTGTGTGTTGAGCAGCTTCACTCCTGCAGTAAGAGCGAACTGATCTCCAAGAGCCCAGAGATCCTGCTCATGTTCCAGCAGGTCCATCGGAAACCCATGCAGTCCTTCGTCACCACGCCGGTCCCCCCAGACTTCACCAGGTAATCGGCTGCATTTAACATCTATTTTATTAGTAATGTGGGCTCTAAAATGTTAGAAAATACTTAAAGATCCCCTTCAGACTTGTTTTTAGACATTACAAATACTCTGCTTGGAACAATAATGTGTGTGAAATGTTTTCTTCCTGCTGCAAAGAATAATTTCCACATTAAAAAGAAAAAATGATGTCCCATGTTTACACCTTTCTATTGAGAAGTAGAACGGATGCTGCTCTGAGCATTCAGTTGTGTTTGATTTATTTAAGTATGTATGCCTGTGGATGAGTGATAATACAGAGGAGAGCAGCCTGGCAGTGTCAGTGGACCACAGCTTTATTCAGTGTGTGTAATCAGTGTTCCTCTGTTTGCTTTCAGTGAGCTGGTTCCTGCCTACGACTCCAGCACTTTTGTTCTGGTCAACTTCAGGTAAATCCTCTCGTCGGTTGCATTTGGCCAAAAAGGACCTCAGTATCATTTAAAGAATTGTCAGCAGTACAGTAGGGTTTCCTTTTGTGGCCATTTTAATTGTTTTGTGCAAACTAGGGCTGCATGATATGGTAAAAACATCATACTGCGATATAATTTTGGACTAGTGTGGGAATTAAAGTTCAATTTTCACTGAAGAAAAGATTAAAATCATGATGATGTGACATGTTTGGGGGTCTGTACAAACAAAAATGTTCTCATGTTCAAGATTTGTAGACCAGAAATCTCTGCAGCACTCCAGAACTTCATTATAATGCTTTTACCTTTATCGAAATATTGGAGCTTCCGGTGATTTACATATTGTAATTGGCCATATTGTGATTAATTGTGCAGCCGGTATCAGTTCCAATACTGTGCTTATGTACCCGTAATCATTAAAGTACTCAGATACCGCTACTGATACCACTTTATGGCAGCACGAGAAGCAACTTTTACAACGTTAACATGTTTTTAAAAGTCATTTTTAGAACTTTAATAGTATTATTAAGTACTCATATCAGTGTTCGGTATCAGCAAGTACCCAAATATTTGGCCTGAAAGAAAGTGATATCGGAGATAATGTTCATATAAAATGTTAAAGTCTTTGAGGAATTCTGCTGCTTTAGCTGCATTTTTTATTTCTAGTTATAGTAGGTGGTTAAACAACAGTGTTACCTGATACATTAGTTTGCCACACAGAGTTTGTTTAGTTAGTTTAGTTTCTTAGTTTATTTGTAAGTGCAGAGAAACATTGACGCAGTGTCCAGTTAGCCGAAGCTAATCTCCAGCACCAGTCCTTTGATGGGCACTGACAGCTTCCAGCAGCGGCTGTATTCACTGTTAATGTTACTACGACACAAACTTTAGCACTCTTTAATAAAAGCTGTGAGTATCTGAAGTGAACGTAGTGGCTCACCAAGAGGAAACATAACCCGAGGAAGGAGAGTCGCTGGGGTCTGCTGGTTGTCGATAAAGAGGATGAGGAGCCCTCTGAAGCTTTTCCACCCACCGCTGAATGTATTTCAAGAGCTTTTTCCACTTTAAAGTTCTCATATTAGGTACGATTGCCCCCACACACCCTCTCCACTCCCCCACCGCTCTGCTTTCACATCAGTGTCGTCATCTACGCAGCGTTTGTCGTTCCTACAGTGTAAAATCACAAACTATAGTTATGTTGCATTTAAACTAGCAGTCCACTCCTGCGTTGTTGTTTTGTGAACCGTACTCGAGACCACCTTTTTCGAGTGGACCCCGGTCTACAGAGTTCATACTAATCAAACGACTTTAGGGGTCAAGTGTACTCTGAAAGCCTCCTTAAATATAAAATGTGACGCATCAAAGAGCAGCTGCAGCTTTAAAACAGGAATACCCTTCAATAGCAGCCTGATGTTGTTACCGTCACCGAGTTTTGTCCACAAGGTTTTGATGTGAGTGTGTTTTTGTGTTTGTTCGTAGCACCCTGAGGCAGCGGGCTGACCCGGTCTACAGCCCTCCTCTGCAGATATCTGGACTCTGCTGGAGACTCAAAGTCTACCCAGTGAGTTTCCCTTCGTCCGATGTTTTCCATTAAAGCCTGTTCACGCTGAGCTTTAGCATCTGCATTAACTATTTATTCCTATAGTTTAATGTCTCCGTTGAAACAGTTTCAGGGAATACTTAAACACACTGTGAGTATGACTGTAAGGACTCAGGGTTGTGACCAAGCAATAAAACAGTATTTTTAAAGACATACAGTAATAACCTGTGCTGTCATACAGATGTTATACTGATGAAAATACATGTCAGTTCATACACAAACATACATTTTCCCAGTATTGAAGGAATTTATCAACCTGTAGATTTAGAAAAACGTCATTCTCTCCACACTTTAAACAGTAGTCACAATGTCCGTCCAGTCAGTGTGTTAGAGGCTCGGTCTGTACCCGTTCTTGTGTTTCTTGCTGGCAGCCAATAGTATCTTTAGTGGATATTTGTCTCGCACCAGTAAATGAGCCTCAATATTACCCAGATAGATTGTGCTCCATCACCAAATATGTTCCTGTATTACCTCCTGCCAGTATGAGCGAATGGCCGGGCAGCTCAAAATTATATGGAAATGATCTCCACATTTCCTCCATCATAGACCCTTTCCCACCTCGCCCATCTGTACATACTTTATGTATGTAATCAAATTCTGCAAGCAGACCCGAGCTGGTGGAAGTAGACTGCACTGAGCTACTCATGTTCAGCCAATCTTCCTCTGAAATGACAAGTCCAGATTCTTTCTCCCATTTCACCCTAACCTTATTGGTTGAATGTTTCTTATTGGACTGAATACTATTTACGTTTCCTATTGTCGGTGTTTCTGTTAAACAAGAGAACTTAGAGCAGCAAGATTGTTGTACGTATCGAATTAGCAGGAAATGTAAGTCCTGAATTTATTAAGTCAATAGGTAAACATGGAGGAACATAAACAACAACCATCAACAGCAAATTAAAACAGGAGCACTTCAAAAAACAAGATATTTTAATAAAATATTCAAATTTACTTTAAAATAAAGGTCTGTCTCTAATATAAGCCTGTTTCAAATAAAGGCCTGGTTCTCTGCAGTGGAGGTGGAGTGGATGCTGGGAGCTAAATGTCACAATATAGTAAAAAATTGTCGTCCATTGCATGTGTTTACTTGATGATGACGCAGGCTCTTTAAAACGCTCTTTGTGATGTGTTTCCTCAGGATGGAAATGGGGTTGTTCGTGGAAACTACCTGTCTGTCTTCTTGGAACTGTCCGCTGGACTCCCTGAAACATCAAAGTATGAATAATTTATTCATAAATCTCATCTCTTTCTCTTCCAACTTCTGTCTTTATCTTAAGTGAGGTTGAGTTATCAGAAATGCCGTAATTGAGTTCTGGCTTTCTGGCAGTCCTTCTCGTTGTTGTGTACTTCCCTGTGCAGTAATGTTGTCTTGGATCTGTGTAGGTACGAGTACCGCGTGGAGATGGTCCATCAGGCCTCCAGTGACCCAACCAAGAACATCATTCGGGAGTTCGCCTCTGACTTTGAGGTCGGTGAATGCTGGGGCTACAACCGCTTCTTCAGACTGGACCTTCTGGCCAGCGAGGGCTACCTGAACATGCAGACGGACACACTGGTCCTCCGGTGGGCTTTCTCTCTCTCGCACGCACACACACACACACACACACACACACACACGCACACACGCACGCACACACACTTTCTATAATGTCAGAGTGTCATCAGTTTTCATGTGTGTGCTCCACAGCTACCAGGTTCGCTCACCCACCTTCTTTCAGAAGTGCAGAGATCAGTACTGGTACATCAGCCAGCTGGAGTCGGCCCAGAGTGGCTACATCCAGCAGATCAACAACCTTAAAGAGGTATACACTGCTGTAAAAACACTGTAGATACAAACTGTATCGCTGGATTACATATGTGCGTCCTATGAATTGTGTGTGTGAAGGTAATTTGACGGCGAACCAAACCACAAACAATAAATCCAGAGAGAATTACCGAAGTGAATCTGTTTAATGGCTCAATCGATCTTCTGAGCTGAGTCATTTTTCTGATTTCAGAGGTTGGCCATCGAGCTGTTTCGCCGTCAGACGTCACGCAGCTCCTCGCCTCCTGACCTCAGGCTCGCCACGGGCACCACGACCTCCGAAAGAGACCCTCGCTCGGTGAAGAGCGACGATGACATCCAGACCACTCTGAGCAACGCTAAAAAGGGAGGAGAAGAAGAAGAGAGGACCCAGCACGATGACTCTAATGTAAGGCTGGAATATACTGCACAGGACTGAGGTAGCAGCTTATTGGTTTTTACTGTTATTTGACTCAGGTTGGTTAATAAATGGAAGCTGAGCATACGAGCAGGTGGGGGAGTAAATATTGGGCTATTTAAATAGTCCATACAAGATGTTGGAAGAAGGAAAAACGTGTCACTGTCGTCTTTGGGTTGAATCTCTGACCAGAGACGCTGGTCTGTTTTTAATTGTTACCATCCCCGACTGTGATTGATATAATAGAGCAGTGATTCCCAACAGGGAACGTCTGCAGTTGCCAGGGTTGTACATGAAAAGCCTGTGGAGTGGCTGAACTAATTAAAATAAATTGCGAGCTTGGTGCGATCACGGCGTCACTGTGTTGTTCAGGAGCTGTCGGACGGTGACTTGGAGGTGGACTGCCTCACGGAGGAGGAGGTGAACCCGCTGGACGGCAGCAGCACCTCGGGGAGCTCCACGGCCACCAGCAACACCGAGGAGAACGACATAGACGAGGAGACCATGTGAGCAGAATTTCTCTCATCCTCTTAAGTCTTTAAACAGAAAATATATCTCCTGTGGACTGTATGTCCTCGCTGTCACTGAATATGTTGCTGTCTGTCTGCACAGGTCAGGAGAGAATGACGTGGACTTCATTGGGAACCTGGAGACAGAAGAAGGAGAGCTTCCTGATGACTTGGCTGGAGCTACAGGTATAATTCATCCAATATAAAGTTATAATATACATAGACGATTGTTACTCCTGCTGTGTAGGAGGAGGGTTTGTTGTTTAGAGAGGATCAGCAGATACTGTATCTCTAAAACTTGTCAACAGAATTTAGTTAAACTTGGCAGAAAGTTTGGCTACGGTTCATGGAATAAAGCCCAGATTACACTTTCCACGTCTGCATATTAACCTCAGGGGCCTGCGTGATTTAAATTCAGATACGCGCTCGTGTCCTCGAGGGTCCGTCTGCGTGCAGCACAAAATTAATGACTGCGTGTGTGAACACGTGTGTGATTCAGACACCCAGTGGAGTACAAACTGTGTCCGCTGCTCCCGTCAGGTGATGATTGATTACTCCTTCGGTGCCACCATGTGACCATTTATTAAGAGAGCTCCACATTTAGGTTCATACATCTTGAAAAGTGACACGTGCAAGCATCTTTTTATGGATTCAAGCTCGAGACAAATCCGTCAGTGTGCAATTCATCCGCGTTTTACCGAACATATTTGGATTTCAAGGAATATTTGTGATTATTCCCACATTTCCACCACTCTGCAGTCCTTGTGTGTTGGCCTGGGGAGGGTGTGGAAACACTGGCTATCTCTATGTTGTCGTGCCAGCGATGATGTCAGGGATGTCCCAAAGACGTTGTTTTGACTCCCAGTTAGATAATATTGAGTATCTAAACTAAAATGAAACCAGTGTATGTGTTTAAAAACTGGATAGTTTCTGCATTGAGCTTCACACTGAGCTGAAAACAAAATGAGTGCACATCAATTAGGTAAATAACAAATAAACAGTCTCATACTGTATTTATACTGGTGTTTGGTGTTTTAGCCACCGGCTGTATAAGCTCTAAGCTGCTCTTACACACATGGAGCTCAGCAGAGAGTTGACAAAGAAAGAAGAAGAACAAAGGTTCAGATTGGGCTCAATATAGCTTAAAATAGTTGATTCCTATCAGTTAAATAAAATTCCTTCACCGGCCCCGATCATCCCGACATCCCGAGTTAAGAACATTTCAATCTCGAGAGGCTTGAATCAAAATCAGAAGGTCAAGGTCACTCTTTTGAAGAACCCAAAAATATCCAGACGAAGAAAATCCAACGTTATTTGTGAAGCTGTAAACCATTAAATCCTTAAATACTTAATTCCCTGCCTGAAATAAAGCCTCAGCCACTGTTTGAGAGTCTACAGAACCTCCTGGTGTTGTTGGACAGCTGCTCAGGCAGAACGCGGTGATACAACGGTGGGCCTCAAAGCGGCTCCTTCACTGTGTTTCACTGTGTTGGTGTTGAAAGGCATGAAGAGGATGAGTCACTGTTGGTGCACTGAACCCCTCGCAGCGTGCTGATATAGAAACACTCGGTGTCTGTATGTGTACATGTGTGTGGGTTGTGTGTGTGTTCACTCTGTCGGAGTCGAGCTCAGCAAAATATTTTTAGGTTTATAAGTTTTACTTTTGATGCTGTTTAAAGTCTCAATCACTGATTTTGAAGTTGTTATTTTAAGGTAGGAACGTTATAGGGCTTTTAGAACGACATGAATTATTAGTTTTGTAAACCTCTGTCTTCTGATCTGCAGGGGGCTCCGGCTCCAGCGTGCGTTCCTTACATCGCAGTGCCGCTGCTGGTCGTAGCGCCGGCGGTAGCGGCGCCACAGCTGGTGGGGCTGTGGGTCCGAGCAGCAACAGCCTCCTGGAGATCGACCCGGTCATCCTGATCCAGCTGCTGGATCTCAAGGAGCGCAGCAGCGTGGAGTCTCTGTGGGGCCTTCAGCCTCGTCCTCCAGTGTCTCTGCTGCACAGCCAAGGTCTGTAAACACACTCCGCCCACTGACAACAAATCGTTGCAGCTAAACAGAGAGTCAATACTCACACACAGAGAACAGTCCCTCCAAAAATACAAACCATCACAGTTCTCCTGCAGCTGTAGTTTTCCAGGCATGGAAACACCTAGAACTTGATTTAAAATGAACAAAAAACCTGGAAATGATGGTGAATTGTATGTTAGCTCATCACTCAGGTTAGCATTTCGGTGTAGCTGTTCACACCTGACGGGAAGCAGACTTGCAGCGATCTTATAAGTCTGTAAGCAGAATTCTCTGAGAAGCCCATTGGAAATGCTGTAAAGGGTCATATCTACATGCATACAGCCTAATAATGATCACATTTGTAGCTGTTACATTTAGTTTTATGTGCAACAAACACTTTCTACTTTCTCCTCTAACAGGCTAATAGTTGGAGTGATTTTTTTTAATCAAACAAGATCTGTTACTTTATGGGCTGTGGCCAAATTAATGTTACAGTTTGTCAATTTCCTATGCTATGGTTGTGAGCAGCAGACTATTTTACATTTTACATCCACGCAGTGCCCCATAAACACTGACCACTGACCTGTGTTGAACCTGTGTCATTAAAAACAAGTCAATGTCCTAAAAAATTAGTCGTTAAACTTCTGGATGGTTGGATTCTCGATTTCATCCCACTTTATGTACGTATGTTTGTTGAGCTGTTTCTTCTTCCTGTTTCTCTTCCAGCTCATGCTCACTCCCGTAAAGACCGCGAGCGGCGACCTCAGGTTGTGCGCCGATCTGCTCCAGACTCAGGGGTCCTGATCCGCCTCAAGGCTCAGATGGCTGAGGTCCGCAGCAAGATGTCTGACGTCAAGAGTCAAGTGCTGGAGGCTCGAGCGAACGGAGAGCCCAGACCCAGCCCATCGGGGGGCTTCAGCGTGGAGGAGGTGTCGTCTCACCACGCTGATTCAGAGTTGTCAGCTTGTCGTAAGCCCGGTGAGCTGGACCTGCTGGGGAGAGCAGCTGCGGCTCGGTCCAGGCCCTGCCGCCCTGGTGAGGACCGCTACACGGCTAATGCTAATAATGGCGAGCTGTTATACAGCTACATGTTTTTATGAAGAAAATCCTCTCATTATCCAGCTAGTATTAGCATAATCCTCATAATTTTACTTTTTGAACATTTAAATGAGAACTTGGTTTGGACAGAAAATAACGAGCCGCTCCTAATTTCACGGCAGTATTTCCCGGTGGAAAAAGGTAGCAAAGCTGGCGGTAACGAACCTGAAAAGTCATCTGAGGTATTAACATCAAGAACTTTATCACGAAAACAACCAAACAAATACTTACCTCTGACATCTGAGGACAAATACTCCGTCCATCAGCTTTAAAGAATGAAACTAAACCTCTGTGCCGTCTCATTTCATTAAGTGACTCATTTAATCAATAACAGGAGATTTGTTATATTATTTAGCAGAGCCGCATTAAACATGAAACTACAGGAAAAGTCTTTGTCCTTTGTTGCTAAAGACATTATTAACTTAGAAGATCAACTACTCCTTTAGAAATCAGTAAAGTAGAAATAGGTTAAAGGTGCTGTATACGACTTTCAGACTAGGTGTCGCACTACAGCACCAGCATCTTAAACCAAATCAAATACGGCCCACCAGACTCCATTTTAAAAAAAACACTCAATCTTGCGGATCATAAAACACATTTCAAACTTGACAGAAACAAAAAACCCTCACCACAACTGTTTGTGTTAGTCTTTCCACTTTTCAGTCACCAACTCATGTTTGGTTAAAATAAATTCTTAGATGAGAAAATAGCCACAAACAGGCTGCAACTTAAGATAACGTTAATCCTTGGAGACAAAGTGCCCGTCAAAGTCCAACTACTAGAAGTAGTAGGTTCTGCCACTGACAGACTCAGGTT